TCTTGTCCTAGTTCTGTCCAACTTAGTACTATCTGCATTTTCACTAACTTTGGTAGGTTTTCATAGAAGGGATTTAGTGAAAATGCAGATAGTACTTTGGTAGGTTTTCATAGAAGGGATTGGATTTTGTTTAGTTTTCCTTTTAGATTAAGTATTGTTTTAACTCTTCCTCCTCTCTTCTGTTAGATTGAAGTTGAATAGCAAAAGAAATCAACTAATCCGAGAACTGGAAGAAACTACACGATTAGTTGCCATGTTACACACCCAGCTGAAAAGGTGAGTTGGTAACCCTTTATAGAGATTGTACGTTCTTTACTGCACATGGTGTAACCGTCTTTTACCTATCAAATTTCATGTCCCAGCTGAGTTACTGTAAGGTCTCTCTATTACTGTAGTCACCTAAGCTCTCTCCATAGCTGTCGGTGGAGAGCAATACCTTAAGAGGATTTATCCCCCTTACATTGGATGGCTGCCTTAGAATGGGGTAAATGACCTTGCAGAAATTCTCCTAAATAAAACAGAAAATCTCTTTATTTTAGGTACATAACTTTGAGATGAGTAAGGCTAGGTGAGATGCTCCCCCAGAGTGTTTGCAGTACTAAAGTACTTTTTTTAAGCTATGTTAAAAAGACTGCCTCTCACAGCAAGCGAAGTGAATGCAAGTATGCTTTAATGTATTTGTCATGAGTTTCATGATGTTTCTCTAAATTAAGGATGCTGCTGCTTGCAACAGACAGTGTGTTGTGGCATGGCAGAGTTTGCTGTGGTCCGTGGGGGATACAGGATGTTTCTGAAGTCACAGTGACTTCTTGTTCAGCTGTGGCTTCAGAGAACTCAGCATCTCTGTGCATAGGGATGAACGCGTGTCAGACACAAAGGCTGTGTCAGCCTTTTGATAGGAAGAGTCTAGCGTTTTTATTAGGCTGAGGTTTTCCTACCTTGTATGTACTGAATTTGCTCTGTTCTTAGCTTCTGCTCCACTTGGATTCTGTTTCATTTAATGAAGATAATGAAAAGACTGGGAAGAAATCAGTGTGTGAGACTGACAGGCCATTAAATAAGCCACCATGGAGAATAGCTATCTGGGATGCTCTCACGCAGTGGAACTGTGTCATATTTTCATTTCATCTAGCTGAATAGTGGTCTTTTGAGGTGACAAAAAAGCATGTATAACTAATTTTTTTCCTAACTACATGCACTGTGTTCTTGACAGACTCTTGATGAGCATTTGTTATTAACACCATAATGCAAAGTGCCTTGCATGCAAAGGTAGGCTCCAAAAGGAACCAAGCTTGTTGGTAGGGAAGAGTGTGTGTTGTTTTTTTGTTTTTGTTTTTTTAAATCCCTTTTTATAGTGAAATACACAAGAGATGCAAACCTACTAGTCCTGCCTAGGTTGATAGTTACTGCCAAGATGTGGAAACTGTTACCCTATTTACGTTCTTGTATTTTACCCCAAAGGTTTTTTTGGACAAGTGTCATGTGTTGCACCTCTGCCATACAAACGCAGAAGGTGTTTAGTGAGGCAATCGTTCTGAATGCTGCCTAATTGTCTTGTTCTCAAAGCTCTGAGCATAATTTCTATGGACTTAGCTTCTACCATTTATTCTGTAAACAATAAACGAGGGATATTAGTCCTATTAAGTACCATCCTCTTTGCTTTTCAAGATGAGACAGGTTCTAAGCCACTTGTACCTATATGGAAATTTTTTGAACAGATAATTCTTATCAGAAGTAAGGGCTTAGACTTCAGTCAATGGATGCATAATATCTGGAGCAATAATGTTCGTTTAAATAGAATTTCTAAGGATACTATCTATTAGAGTAGTTGAGTGTTGATGGGATCTAATTCTGATAAGTTCTTCCCCCATGAGTTACTATTAGCTGAAATGGATTATGCGAGAATCTTTATCTCGTACTCTGGACAACAGAAATGAACAAAAATACATAACTGCAGTAAAGAAACATGCCAAACCAGGAATTTGAAATTATACATGTGACCTTTTCATTCTGTTTTTGATATAAAAGTCAATACAGAGTTTCTATTATGAAACAGAAGACCTAAGGCTGATGGAAAACCAAGCATAATGTGCTTCCTACATGTGCTCCTGGCAGCATGTCTGATTTGTACCATGCTCAACCACGTAGGTTGATAACCTCTGGGCAGAAAACTTTGTGCTGATGTGTCAGAGTTCTCATCTCAACAACCTTCTATTCAGCACCTGCCTAAAATTGAATTTACTCTGTTATATTCTGCAATTAGGTCTCTAGGGGTCAATGGCTTCTGTGAATTGATTTCACACCCCAGGCTTAACTTGTTGCTTGCACTTGTGGCCTCTGGTATTGTGTAGCTGTCTGTCTTGCACACAGATAAATCCTGCCAGTTTTCTGATAACTAGTAGTTGTCGTGATGTCTAAGGGACACTTCCAGTGAGGTGAGGTTGCCTTTTGGGGGTTGGGCAAAGATGAGGCTAAAGGAAATTATTACTCTGTGGACGGATGGCTAGTTCAAAGGACGTCTGGTTCACCTTGTGCATGGAGCTTGCTGGCTTTCACAGTCAGGTCACGAGGCTAACAAGAACCACAGTTTGTCCAGGATGTTGGTGAGAATATTCCTACTAATTTGACTGTTTTGAAACTGTTTACTAAAACTGCTTTGGCTAAGCTCTTTGGACTCTTCAGAGATGGATGTGATGAGCTGAAAAATATGAATGAAATACATGCTTTTTATTGAAATGTATCCCAACTCTGTCTGTAGTCTGGGTCTGGGTGTAGGCTGTGGTTCTGAGTTGTCATGGGGACTAATGCATGTGGACAAGGCTATCAAAGCAAGAAGTACTGTGTGGAGTTGGTGGTTTAACAGTATGGCTGTGTTTTTCTTGAGAGTTGGGATGTGCAGTTTATGACTTTGACTTGTGTTTCCTTCAGTCTCTCTACCAGCATGCTTTCCCTCTCTTCGAGTAGCAGCCCTGGTTCCCTTGCATCTAGTAGAGGATCTCTTGCCACCTCCAGCCAGGATTCTTCCACCTCGGCCAGTTTCACAGATCTTTATTATGAGCAACTGGAACAGTTGGAGCAGTTGGACTCGGACTATCAAAACAAAATTGACTTCTTAGAAGGAGCCACTGGATTTAGACCGTCAGGCTGCATCACCACTATTCATGAAAACGAGGTAGCAAAAACTCACAAAGCAGATGCCACCAGCCGCGTCCAGGCTTTGAGATCGTTGTCCGGTACCCCCAAATCGATGACATCGCTGTCTCCGAGGTCATCTCTGTCTTCTCCGTCTCCACCGTGTTCTCCATTGGTGATAGACCCACTTCTGGCTGGTGATGCATTTTCAAGCCATATGGATTTTGATGATGCAGAGATAAGTACAAATCTCTCGGAACTCACCCTAAGCATTGGGAGTGGAAACTATAGGCTGGAAGAGCCTAGAGCGGGAGATAAACATCTAGGTCAAGGTATGGTAACAAAGTATTCACATGATTGTGTGTTCAATGTGATTTATAAGGTACTGGGAAGTAAGTACTTAAGGAGCCACCTGTCATTGTGATACTTTTGTGGTTAAAAGCAGTATGTTCTGCGCTCTGCAGAAGAAGTTGGTGTTTTAATTTATACTTAAGACATACGGCCAATCCGAGTCTTCCAGAAGATGTCGTCTAGGTGTTTTTTGGTGCGTGTTATATGCATGTGTGCACACAGAAGTAATCACAGTGGCTGTGATGATTTGCTGGATTAATTTGGCACTTGACTACTCTGAATGTGATTAGCGACTTGGTCGCAAATTGGGTGATGCGTAATGTCTTACCGAAGAGAAGTTTTTGGCTGACCCTCTGAGGAATACTGAGGAAAAGCTGTTCAACTTAGCAGGTGAAAATGAGAATAAAAATTCTTCCCTGCCACCTCAGTGTACACGAAATGTTGCTCTGCTTTCCAGTAAGTAAGTAGTAATGAATTCATTTACTTGAGCCAAGCAGACGTGTCAGGGCTGTGCTTTGGATTTGTGCTGTTTTGAGGGTGATGGTCTCTTAGCAACCATCCAGTCTTTAGATTATAAGCATGGTGAGATAGGATGTTCAGAGATAGTAGATATTTTGATATGCACATATAACTTATTCGTGGGTGAATAATGCTTGTGTCCTTCAGAGCAGAAACCCTGTGTAAGTAGGTTAAAAGCAATAGAATACAGTGCAGTCATTCCTGAGCTAGGACCTGCGTGAAGACCTCCTCAACTACAGTATGGTTATATCCGGTGGATGTGCTTCTGTGTGTAACTACAGGGAAGAAAAAGCCCTCAGCTGCAGAGCTTTAAAGGCAAGCTGCAACTAGAGCAGTTCAGTCTGTTTCAAACAGGTGAAAAATGGCCTCTGTGAATCAAGGAAGCTAGTGCTGTATTGTTGTTGCTTTTTTTCCTGTAACAGTCCTCATTGGGAAGACTGATACCGTTTAAAATTCAATAGAAGACATGATTGCAGATTTTTTTTTGAATTGCACTTTCCTACCAGCAAGAGATACTTAAGAATTTGAGTAGGAAACAGTAATTATTCCTATTAGAATTGGGTGCTGATGAGTTTTAACCTTTTTAGCTCTTCAAGATTTGTCAAGGCTGTTTAAGTGAAAGCTAAGGTGTTAAGCAGATTAAGTGATTATTACTGTTACTCAGTCAGCAGACAAAATAATCACCATAAGTAGTTTATTTCAGGGCAATAATGAGATGAGGTTTTTACTCTTCAGGCATTTTGCACAGATCTCAGTGTAACACCCAAACTGAGGTGGCTGATTCTTACGGAGTTAATGCTTGGCCTCACAGGAAAAACATGCTCACATGCTCCTGTAAGTAGAGCTAAACAGTATATATCTGAGATTTGCATTTTCTTTCTGTTAGAAAATATTCCTGCTACTTTTCAAATTGGTACCAATAGGTGGTGTGAATGTGTGCATAGGCTGTTGGCATGTGGTGATAAACGTATCCTGGAGCCTTCCTAACACATTGTGTTAGGGCGGTTGTAGCCATTGATATGTGAATGGCTTCATGCTGCCCAAACCCTACTGGCATCTGTGGCTGAGTCACCTGCAAAATCCTGCAGGAATTGATTTAAATCGATCTGGGTGTGCCAACATTCATTTTCTGACAGAAAATCAAGCTGTTGTTTGAATCATTGTGGGATACATGACAGAAATATTTTGTGTACTGAAGTAGTAGTTATACAAAAACTGTGCTAACAGTTGCAATCCTCTGAGGAAAAGGTGTGATGAGGACAGTGAACCACACAGCATCTTCTGCAGGTCTTGCCTTGGTGTGTCCATCCCCCTGTGGGGGGCAAATAGGCAGGAAGTGAAGAGAAGGATTTAAATCCTTGACAGGAAAGATGAAAAACGTCTAGGGAGCGTGAGGAGTCATCTGGCATGTCTTGAAGTTCTGAGCTGGGGCTGAACCGTAGAACAGTGAGGCTGTCTGCCTCTGACATGCTCCCAATGCATGGCAACACTTCCCAGCTTCTTTTTATGTGGTAATTTCAGCATCATATACCACACAGCTAAGCACTGTTGCTGTGACTCAGTGTTGTCTTGTATGTGTCTGTGGTGCTGCCTGGGGTGTCACCTATATTGCCTAAACAGAGCTGTGGTCTTGTCTCTGAATTTGGGAGATACTGTCTATTGTTTTTTAGGTTTTGTTTTTCTCCTATGCAAGGCAGCCCCCCTTCTCCCTTGAATGTTTGCCCCATTTTTGATCAGTCTTGGAGCTCTGAGCCATTCCCTTCTTGGAAGCACAAAACCAAGGCTGTGTTTGATCTGCAGGGAGCTGGCCCGGGGCCCTTGCAGCGCGGCTGTCCCCGGCCTGCCTCCACTCGGAGCGATTTGCGCTGGGAGCACAAGCCCGCCCTCATACCACCTCAGTGGGATTGCCCCTGAGAAGATATAAATAGGAAACAGCAAAAACAACATAGTCAGTATTAGAATTAAACTTCCCTAATTGCAAAGCTACTAACGGAAAAAAGAGGCTGGAAAAGGGCAGGATGAAGCTCAGTTGCGAGATGAATCCCCGTCCAAGGGAACAATAGCTCACTCAGGGGCACTGAAAGGCTCCCTTCATTCCTCTTGGCCGCAAGGTACTCTGGTGAAGTGATGAAAAAGGAACCCTTTCTGGGTCGAAGTGCTTAAATGGCACTGGAAATGTAAGGAGAGAAAGAGCTGAAGTGTGTGGAGACTGCTTGGTGGTAGGTGGTGTTCTTCCTAATCAGGAGGCTTAATAGGAAAAGATTTCTGGATTGGCATTTCTGGGAGCGGTGTATAAACTTCTCCCCACTTGGTCTAGGAATGCAGCCAGCAGAGAAGAAATAACTTTCATATTAAAAGCCATGGAATAAGTACAAAGCAGCACTGAAGAAAGATTGCTTGTGAACCTGCTCACATGCCTCAGGAATAGCCCTGTACTTCAAAGGGGATGCAGGAGGAGAAGAACGATTAGGTCTGGGAATGCCAGTGTTAAATGTATCCATTCATTTCAGTTAATGGTTTATCTCTTGTGTTATGGATGATAACTCTGATTCATGTAGTTAAAGCTACAGGAGAAGAGGTCTGAAATATTTCTTTCTCTTCCACAGTTCCATGGGATTCCTGAAAGAAAAATCTAATTCCAACAGTATTGTCAAAAAAAAAAAAAAAGTTGACCCAAAAAGCTCCTGTGTTTGAGCTCGGTGTTCATTCAAGATCTTTCAGTATTGGTGCTAGCCATAGCACCCTCTGCAGTCAGCTGGAACGCGGGTCCATACGTAACTGTACGGTCCTACGTTGGGCTTGCTTCGCCAATGTCTTCCAAATCAGTTTGTCAGTCTTGAGGTAGTTATGTGGCTATGTGCCAAGGTCGCCTCTGGAATAAAGATCATGTAGGATGAAAAACCATACATCAAATGGGAGGAGCATGTGCTTTCCTAAGACTACTGGAAAGGGGTCTCTTCTAAACCATGGACATCATTGGGGAGGTATGCACAGCTCCATTTCTGCTTCGGGGCTGCAGTCACCCTCAGAGCAGGAGTCCCAAAGTGCTGGCACTGAGGGGGAGTCCCTTTAGTTGTCTAAAAATTTTGTTCTGAGGCAGTCTTGCATTTCTCGTAAGCACTAACTTAGCTCTGACTAAAAAGTAGAGTGCACTCGTGTCCTCTGTGTTCAGAAAAATGTTGTTATGTAGCAATACTTAGGTGCAAAGACAGACGTGCAACTCGAGGGGAGAAGAAAAAAGTACCTGAGCCAGCTATTTTGGTTTCATTAACACATGTTTTTTTCCATAGGTGTAAACATGGCTGGAGGGGCAGCACTGAAGGTGGCCTGTGTGTCTGCTGCGGTGTCCGATGAATCTGTCGCTGGAGATAGCGGGGTGTATGAGGCATCCGTGCAAAGGTAGGCATCAGGGCTTTCTCTAGGAAGAAGCTAATGATTCAGCTTTGTACACAGGAATCAACTGGAATATTCTACATAGAGTAGTACTTTTCTCCATTTTGATGACTAAGGTCTGCCTCATTGAAGCAGAAACTGTAAGCAGGCTCAACTTGATTATAAGGAATGTCCCATGTTTCCTATTGTACAAATAGATTAAAATAAGGCTGTTGCTTTTTTCCTTATGGAGAATAATTTGGAAGAGCTGATCCATTTCTGAAGATACTAGCATCGTCATTAGCACAGCCTTAACCATGTCAGCAGAGAGAACTGTCTGGCAGGTGTAAAATTCCCCTCTTATCAGCCAATCAGTCCAGTGTCAATGACAGCCCTATATCAGCATAAATGACATTTGAGATGTTTATAAGGTAGCAAGCATCCTGTTCAGAAATACCTTCATTTGCCTCATGGATATTATGTACTATGATGGTCTTCCTGATTGCTTGAATGCAACATTCAGTTTCTCTAAGGTTTTTCTGTGTAAGTAGATGGTGCACTTGGAGAAGGAACTATGCGTTATTGCTCCTTCTGAGTGTCTGAACCTGACTTTCTGCTTGCTAAAGCAGAATAGTGGAACAGTGTAACAATTCACTGGAAGGTAGTGTGCTTGTGAACCTGCAGTGTGTGGTTTCTTCCAGTTTCTGTTGGCATCCCAGTGCATGCCTGCATTTTTTCATGTTTTTTAATATTTGGGTTGTTGATTTAGCAACCTTTGCCTATAATATGTGCTGAGGATAGATACAATATATTATGTCCTCCATAGCTGAAAGGAAATGAATTGCAGAAGCATGCTAAGTAATGTGAAACACCTGTGTTAATCCTAGCATCAAGGTTGTGAATAAGCATCATACTAGATGTGGAATGTTTTCGATCATGGATCCCTCTGAGTCGCAGGGCAGTGTGACACTATCCTGTTTCATGTGCTACAGTATATTCTGTCTTTGAGTCAATAAAATGATGAACATGCTTTGGGGGATTTAGGGTGCATAAAACTCTACAGACAACAGTGGGAGGAAAATTTGCTCAGCTAGCTCTTCAGTTAGTCTACTCTGTTACCTTTAATGTGCTTAGAGCAATTTAATTTCTTTAAGAATCAAAGGAATGACTTAAAACCTGCAAGTCTGATTAGATTTTAGGTCTTTATTGGAAATCCACTGTCCTTACCTGAAATGCAGTCGAAGGGCCCATGGAGGGAAGAAAAAAAAAAGGCTTTTCCTGTGCAGAATCTTGTGTGGCTCTTTTATTGGCAGTGAAAGGAGAAGGCCTGTGACTTTGCTGATAGCTGCAATATATACCTGTATGGATGGATGCTTGGTACATGTTTCTCTTCAACAATTTCTCCTTTTACTGCTAGTTATTCTGCAAAATCCTTACACACTCTTCCTTGAATGGTAATGGGACAGGGGAGATCTCATCACAAATAGGAGCAGTTCAGTAATATGGAGACCAAATCCTTAACTGTCTTTGATTTCTTACAGACCATGTGTGTCAGAAATGGTGTTTGACAGTGACGACACAGAAGCAGTTGGGACTGCTAAAGTGCAAATTGCAATGAAGTAAGCACTGCATTGCTTAAATTGTATTTTCTTCCTTGTGGATGGGTATATGTGATTTTAGATAGCACTTGATCTGCTTTCTTGCTTTATTAATAATTGCACTTTGTAGTGTAATTGAAATGTGTCTCTGGGCCTCCTTTGGCCTGATTATCATTTTTGAGGCCAGTGGAAATCCACTGGTGATAAGTGTGTTATGTTGCAAACCAGGAATGGGAGGAGTGACTCTGCTGGGCTGGAGAAAGCATTTTGTGGATTCTTGTCTCCTTCAATGTGCAGCTTTGGGGGAAAGACTGAAGAAGGTAAAAGGCAGTGGTGTTGATTTACTGAACTCTACAAATAGTATGCAAAATGTAGACAGAGCAGATGACCTTGGAGAATGTGTGAAATAGAGAAAAATCTAGTGCAAATCTGTCTTGTGTCAATCGATAATACAATGGTAACCCCGAATGCCTTCACTGTTAGAGCGCCTGATTCATCGAGCATTTTTAACCTATAGGATTTTTATATTAAAAGATAGTTGTGTAAGGTCTTTAAAAGTTTTTAATTGGAATACAGAAATTTAATCAGAAACCAGAAAAAAAAAAAGTATTAGGTCAGATTTATCTCTGAAATTGTAAATATGAATGCAAGTAATTCTGGGTTTTTTCACAGCAAACCTTCAGGTAATATGAAACTGAAATTGATAAGGTGATAAGGGAGCAACTTGTGCTCCCGTGTGATAATGGTCTTGTTTATAAATATTTAATGAGGAGTTTTAGGTTAGTGAAACGAGTGGGATACTCTTTCATGCAGAGTAAGGCAGATTTCTACAGAACATTTTTTTTCTTTTCAATTCATTCAGGTATGATGACAAAAACAAACAGTTTGCAATACTCATCATTCAGCTGAGTAATGCTCCAGCCCTGATGTTACCACAAGATCAGAAAGTGTAAGTAGGTGAAATAAAAATGCTTGACTGATTGCATTTAGTTCTAGATGGAACTCATCAGTTATTTGGCTTGTGGTTTTTCTCATTTTTAATTATTTACCCTTTCTGAAGTAATTGTACAATGTGTCATGAGTAGCATCATTTGTCAAATCATGTACCCACCAACTGGGCTTCAGGAGAGCAAACCTTGACCTCCTCGCGGACCTTCTTGGCAGGTCTCCCAAAATGCCATCAAGGCAAGCTCTGGAAGTGTGGGATAGACAAGCAGTCAGCGAGGCGGATGGGAAAACTGGCTACAAGGCAGAGCTCAAAGGGTTTCACTTGGTGCAAAGTCTCCTTGGAGGCCTGTAGCTAGCGCTCTACCCTAGGGCTCCCTACTGGCTCCAGTCTCATTGGACCTCCTCATCAATGACCTGGATGAAGGGGCAGAGTGCCATTTGCTGATGATCTCCAGAGTTTCTTCTGATGTCAACCCTGCTGTGATTCAACTTATAGCTTCTACTAACTTAGTTATTAGCTAAACATTTTTGAATCCTATTGTGCTGAATGCTGACATATTTGGTTCTTTTTTGCATTGTCATTTCTGCCTGTACAGAGTATATTATCAGTCTACAAGTTCTGCAGATGTAAGCCATTTTGTAAAAGGTAATCCTGTGGTGATTGCTTACAAGATTGAGAAGAGGGAAATGTAAAGGAACTCATATGGGTTCGTATTGTTGATTTTGGGATAAGAGATGCTCGTTTGGATCTTTTTCAGATAATTGATTTTGGGAAAAGGAGGAGAGTCACAGTGCTTAGAGTGAATTGTTGACTAACAGGTCTCAGGTCCTCCAATAGAGATACAGTGCCAGTAGTACAAATTACTTTTTGTTTTTTCAACAGGAACGTTCGCGTGGCCGTTCTTCCCTGTTCAGAAAGCACAAGTTGCTTGTTCCGCACAAAACCAGTGGAAGCTTCGGACAATCTTGTGTACAATGAAGCATTTTGGGTTTCTATTTCCTACCCAGCGTTATGCCAGAAGACTTTAAGAGTTGATGTTTGCACTGTAGATAAATCTCACCTTGAAGAATGTCTGGTTAGTGTTTATCTCTATTTGAAAATTTTTTGGGGGGTGTGTGTACAAAATCTTATACACTGGAGAGCGGCAATGTTTGAGAGCTTTCTTGATGATCCTTTGCTCTGTGATGTCTCCTGGCTGGCAGGGCAGGAAAAAAATCCATCAGAATTCTTGTTATTGTGAAGAAAACTCTTTAGATGTGAGCTGGTTAGATAACTACTGATAACTGTTACAGTCCCATGATTTAATGTGAAAGCCTTGCTATTTTTCTTCTGTTAGGAAGCATACATTGTAGTCGAGGTGAGAATTGACTTCTTGCAGAATTTTGGAAGCCAGCTATAGAATATGAAAAAACTTTCAAGGATTTCTTTAAAAGACCGCTATTAAGCGCCACTGTTACTACCCTTTAAAAACTAAACATATTATGTCCATAGGCCTGTATTTTAAAGAAGAATTGTTTTGCTATCTAGTATTACCTGGGCAAGCTGATTTCAACCGAACTTCCTTGGGTGTAGTTCTGTACTCCAAAAGGCAAGTAGGGTGTGTTGAATTGGGACCTGAGTAACAGTTTTGCTACGGAAAAGTTGATGTCAGTTCATTTTAATACCACATGGAAGTTGTGGAAATTAGTTTTGTTTGTTTTTGCTTTCAACAGGGTGGCACACAGATTAGCCTGGCTGAAATATGTAGATCCGGAGAGAAATCAACCCGTTGGTACAACCTTCTTAGTTACAAATATCTGCAGAAACAGAATAGGAAAAATAAACAAGGGAACGTTCATTCTCAAGTATCCTGCACTGGAAAAACAGTAAGAAAAATTGCCTAAATAAAGATCTTGCAAACCCTCTCATTAGTGCTGTATAGATGGCTAAAAGGGTTGGATCTGGTTAAAGCCTGATGAGTAGGTATTTAGAACTATTGTCTTGGATAAGCACAGCAAAATAATTGAAATGCTGATCGGTTATGTCCTCGTCTTGGCCAAATACTTACTGAAATCTACTACTTGGGAACCTGAGCGACACAGTATGTGGTCTGGTGTAAGTACTGTGTGTGAGCTCTGCCCTGCTGCTCGCTAGACCTTGCAGCACCAACCTTCTTGACCGAGTCAAGAGATAGTAGCTCTGCGTGTGCACTGCCTGCAGACTTAGCCCTCTGCCTTTCCTTCACGTGTGCACTGCCCTGTCACTGCAGGGAGTGGGCAGGGTAAGCTCCTAGCTTTGTGCCCTCTAATAGACTGCCTGAGAAATGTGGATGTAGAGATGGGGCCTCTAGCTAGGGCTGTTCTGACCGGACAGACTCAGTGGTTTGGGTGAGTAGTGTCGTTAAATGAAGTCTTTTTGCTGCAGGACTCTGTGTCGGCACTCCTAGAGCAGACAGCTGTTGAACTGGAGGCTGTGGAGAAGAAACTGGAGGAAAGCAGGAGCACTTTAACTGGTGGAGAAAGCTGGTAGGTAACAGGGCACCCTTTCACTGTAAGGGAGATATCAGAGTTTAGGGATGGGGGTCTCACGTTGGATGTGCGGAGAAGGAGAAAAGCCAGTGATGTGGAGCTCTGGGAAGCTTTTCTCTGCTGTTCTGGAGGTTGCTTGGAAAATGAGAACCAAGTGGAAAAACATGAAAAATAGAGTAGAAATATGCTGATTTTGAGACCTATACAGTGTTGCATGGACCTCCATAAAAGCTTCACAATATGGTGCAGGGCTTTGTCTGAATCATCAACTTGGTTGTCATTCGCATAGTTCAGCTTTCGGTTTTATTAGTGGAATCTCATCCTTGACATAAAAAGGAAGCCTGACCAAAGGGCTGGGAGAAGCCAGCAGTGAATCCAGAGGTGCTGAAAAGGACATTGAAGGATATTTTTGTCTAATTTCACTTTGTAAACGGAGAGATGAAATGAGTCCTGAAATTCAGACACATACCATCTTAAATCAGACCATGGGGCTGAAGCCTGAGCTGTCTCACTTTGCATTTGAAGGGAGACTGTAGTAAAGTCTAGGGCAGTAAGGGTATCCTTCTCGTGCAGTTACACTCCAGGTTGCTCATTCCCATGCAAAACTGTTCTCTGTAATCTGAGTGGCTGTAGTACCTGTCAGGTGCAGAAAATGGCCTTAGTTCAGCAAGTTGTTCTAAGTATCTACCTGCTGGAACACCAGTGTATTGTACTGAAAATGTCTGTTTAGTAAGATAAGCACTTTTTACTGCAGGCAAGATGAAGATGTTCCTGAGCAGGATGAGACCAGTGAAAATGAAGCGGAGGAGGAGGAAGAGTTTTGTGCTGAAAAGTCACTGTGGGAAACAGAAGAAAGTCTGAATTCCCAACTGCACGTGGAGATATCGGTGAAGGTAAAGCCAAAGGCCATTCAAATGGAAAGGGCCACTGCACTAAGGAAATACTTGTAACTGATTTGTATTTTGTTTCTGGCCAAGTCTCAAAGCATATTGCAAAACTGAGTGTCTGGCTGTAGAGGTTCGTGGGCCTACAGCTCGACTGTGCAGACTTGCTCTTGTAGAAAGCTCTCATGGATTGGTATAAGCAAATAGTCATTTTCATACTTCTCGAGGCAGTTAGCTGTTTTCCTTTGGGAGCACAGGGTGTTATTAATGTGGCTGGCCCATGCCTGTGCATCAGACATTTGCTTTGAAGGGGAAGGTGCCCTGCCAAGTTTTGTTGTGCAAAACCAAGATAGAGCTTTGTGTCCCATGGACTGTGCACCGTTTCCTCCTGACGGGAGATTTTAGGCTTGTCAGAGAAAACCTTGTTCTTTGATTAGAACCTCTTTTGTAGTATGATGTTAAGATCTCGCTCCTTTTAGTTTATCGCTTTTAAGGGAGCTCTTGTTTTATTTAAGCTTTTTTTTTTTTAAAGGAAGAAGTTGCTGTTGCTTACCTGACTAGGTCACCTTTGAACTAAGTAGGGCTACAGCAGTTATCTGAAAGTACACGATTGACTTTGAATGTCTTATCTACCTGAAGTGATTTTAATAATTCTGTGACCATTTTGTTGTTGTATTGTTCCGTACCTTCTGTTTGCTCATGAAAATGTTTTTTATGGAAATGTGACCATGATTTTGACCTGATATGTTTCTGATTCTAGTTGTAGTCTATTAAATCACGTGCTGTAGAAGTGTTCTCTGTGCATGTGGCTGTTGGTCCCCTGCAGATGCGGAATAAATAAGGGAACGGTCTTGAAAATGATAGCTCTGTTGTGCGTGCAAGATGGCTAGGCCACATCCACAGAATCAGTTGTGTTGCACAGCAGTCAATATACACAGGGCCCTTAAGGAGTAGTACACTTAATGTAGCAGCTTGTCAGTTCAGAGACTGAAGTGTCAACACACGCGGCATGGCTAGGGCACCTGTGTCTGACGTGTCTGCCCCTGGGACTGAAGGGAGGCAGGGATCTCAGGTGGCTGTCCCACAGCCTGGATCCACATGGTCGCTGTCATGGCAAGCTGGCCTTTACGCTGTGGTGTGTTTTTCAGGTGGATAAGGAGACCAACACGGACAGCCCCGCGCAGTCTGCTACTGTAGTTCGTCCGAAAGACAAAAGAGCAGCAAACCCACCGCAAACTCAGTTTGTCAGAGGTAGCACTATCATCCGCTCCAAAACGTTTTCTCCGGGACCACAAAGTCAGTATGTGTGTCGGGTAAGGAAAATATCGTCTTGGGTTTATGGTTTTGCTTAAGCAGCGCGCTGTATCAGTCTGCCCTTAATCTGTGAATTCTTCACTGAAAATTTTTATTCCTCCTTGAGCAGACGCTCTGTCCAATCACCTTAAACAAGTTTTGGTGCTCGTATGTGGTGCATGCAGCATGCTGAGATGCACAAACTGCCTTGGAAGGGATTGACTCTGGTAACATGAGCATTTCATCTGTGGTAGTACACGGTTCTCCCTATGTGAAAAACCCTCTTGGCTTCTCAGTTGTGTGAGGGTTAAGGTGGCTCTGCTCCTTCTGGTACCAAAGCACTGTGCTTTGCAGAGCTGCCTTCCTGGCACAGAATGCCTGTGCAGTTGGTGATGGTTCATGTACTCACTGACTCTGGTATGCAGGCATCTTAGCAGAGTGGTGTAATAGACAATTCCTCTAATTAAAACTCCCCTGTGAGTCTAGGTATAACTCTAACCACAGTAGAATGGGAATTCTACTCTAGATATGTTCATCTGTTCTTAAAAACTAACAACTCCTATTTGCTCTGCCACTTCTGTGTATAGTTAGTGTGTTCAACTTGAGACTTTTTTTCTGTCCCTCCTCTAGGTAACCAGACCCCTTAGAAATGATTCTCATGGAGTCTTAATGCCCTGTTTCTCCTTTCTCTGCCAGAGATCAAACCGAGTGATACTTAGGTCATCTCTGAGTGGCTTCTAGGATTTGCTGCTGGTTAGACTGCAGTGAGGGGGGAATAACAGCAACAAGCCCTCCGGCTTGAGAGAGCTGTCTTGCTTAGTGATGATTGAGCCTGCTGTAAGACAGTGATGAGTATCTCATGCTGCACTAGGACTGTTTTATGTCAACCTGAACCAGGGTAGCTGCATCTTCCTCACCTCAGAGGAGGCAAACATGAAAGCGTGTGATGGAACAAAAAGATGGGTACTTGTCCAAAGTGCCTTGTATGAAAGCTGAACGGGCCATGTACTGGGAAGGGTGTCATTTTCCCAGCTTGGAAATGTTCATTCACAGTGAATTATTTTCTAGACAGAGGATCAGCATAAACTATAAATAACTCCTCTAAATTGCCAAACATGCAGGCACTGCCTTTGATCACACGTGAGCTGTCCTAGCTAGGTGGGAACTCTGTTAATTCAGCGGAGCAGCATTTGAAACGCTGGTTTCTCCGGTTCGGAAGCGGGTGCCCCCTAGGAACAAACCATCTTTCATTCGTGCTGCTGATGTGCTCGGCAGCAGAGGCGCAGGGTCCCGGCACAGGCCCACGTGCCCTCTATTTCCCCACCACCGCTTTGCAGAGAAAGGAGTGTGAGATCTCTGCTGGAGCTGAGCCCTCTAGAAAATCTGGACGCGATGGCGAAAGAAGGCAAGCTGTGTGTGCATAACATGACAGCTCAGGAGCTGTCAAATCTAGAGGGCAGCTTAGAGGTCAACCTACGTGCTCCTCCACTACCTTAAAATACAGTTTGCTAAAGAGAAAAAGTTCTTTCTAATGAAATAGTTGCATGTCTTGCAAATATTGGCCAAGACTGTATTGCTGTTTCTTCCTACAGCTTATTGTCCTGTTTTGCCCAGCTGTGGTGTTTGCACATGAAAAGAGCAGTGGGTACTGTCCTGTACCCTGACTTAGTCTTTTCCCCTGCCCCTAGTATCTTCCTACCAGGGACACAGAGAGCCCCGGCTTTGTGGCGGGACCGCAGTGGACTGCACGGTGCCCACTTGCTGATTGGAGTGGATGTCTCTCCTCTGAAGTCTTTCACAAAACTCAACAGTTCCAAGTCCATTGGTGTTCATAGTTGCTGAGGCCACCTGATGATCTTAGTAATAAGTGCCCTGCTTGTATTTGCTTTACTAAAAGAAATGTGGTTTACATTTTCAGCTGAATCGCAGTGATAGTGACAGCTCAACCCTCTCCAAAAAGCCGCCCTTTGTTCGCAATGCAATGGAGAGACGAAGTGTCAGAATGAAACGGGTAAAATATTTTTTCTCTTCCTTCTTACAGATAACATGTAGAAGTTTACAAAAAAAATTCTTTCTAAAAGATTAGCCTTAGCCAACAAATCAGTTCCAAATTATTTCATTTATTACCTTTTTTTGTGTGAGAAGCCTCTCAAGGCAATGTTGGTTTTCTATTTCAAAAGATGACAGGAGTGTCTTAAGTTTCTAGCGGACATATAGAAAAATAAACTAAGGAAGGGAGTTCTCACTATTCTCAGTATTGTCCTAGCAGAAGTAGTAAAAATGTTCTTGCTATGTTTGATGTTGTAAAATAATAGTTTAGGTAATAAATACGAACGGAGGAAAGGGTGGCAGTGAGCTGGGGAATCATTAACATCAACCTAACATACACATGATGAAAATAGGGCTCTTTGCATAAGAATAGGGTTTTCTCGAAGTAGCTTGTGTTTGGTATTGTAACTGAAGTCATGAATATGTTAGGAGTCCCAAAAAAAAGCCACGTTTTTCTGCTTTGTGTATTATTCTGGGGCATGGGGGTTGGTTTTCCAAGCGAGACGCACTTGAATCTGCCTTTTCTGTCCTGAGATGGGTTAAGAAGCAGGATCGATGGAGGTGCTTTGCACTAGAGAGGTCTTGGAGAAAAGGCTTATGTTACATGATGTGCTTCCCCTTTGAAAGGGGAGGTGCAGACATGTCTTTTCATTGTATTCATAACACCCCCCTAAAACCTTCCTTTTTTTTGCCCTAGCCTTCAATTAAATCTTTCAGTACAGAGCGTCTCATCCGCACTTCGCTAGACCTGGAGCTGGACCTGCAGGCTTCGAAAACTTGGCACGATCGGCTAGTCCAGGAGATCTCTGTGCTTAAAGAACTCAAGGAACAGTTAGAACGAGCTCAGAGTCAAGGTGAAAAGGAGCTGCCACAGTGGGTGAAGGATGATGAGAGATTTCGACTGCTGCTGAGATTAGTGGAAAAACGAGTAAGTAATAGCTGGCCTTGGATTGTATTCAACACATAGGAGCAACGTGATTTGAGAAACATCAGTTTGCACGGTCAGATTAAACTTGAGCACTGTAGTCCTTCATCTTCCTGGTCTTAGGGCTCCATGAAGCAAGCTGTTGATGATGAAAGTTGCACGCATTGGTGGCTGTCTGGCTATTTTCAAATGTGACATGAACCGTGGTATTTCCAAACTGCAGAGTGTTTGTGCCTTCCCATAAATGTGTGAAGGGTAGGAACGCAGCTCCTGCAGCTTTTCATCCTTGCAGACCTATGGTGGTGTAGTAATGAGTTGGCACAAAATGTTTGTTGGAGCAGAGCTCGAAGAGGGTCTTCTGGCATGAGCTCACATAAAAGGAAACTTTCTGAGAAAATGGACAGAGAAAAGCTGTTGGTAGCAACCATAATTCATGACCATGGCGACCTGTGCCAAAACGTATTCCTTTTAGCTCCTGTGACTGGTGAATGCAGTCAGCCCTTTCCAAACCACTTGAACTGAACTGCTGAGCTACCTTGCTGCATTTAAGAGTTTGCTGAGAGGAAGGGATTCCTCATGGGAACAAATGCATCTTTTTCCATTACTCATTTAGGCGGAGAAAACAGAACACAAGTGTGAGCTCAAAGCGGATAAAATGATGAGAGCAGCTGCCAAGGATGTGCACAGGCTACGAGGACAGAGCCGGAAGGAGCCTTTGGAAGTACAGTCATTCAGGTAGGTGCACCTGTAAGGCACAGCAAGGCTTGACTGCTGCTGTGATTGTTCCCTGGGTGACTAAGATGCTGATCAGGAAAGCTAATACGTGTAGCAGTTCACTGTTCTGCTTAAACTAAGTTTTTTCTGACTTTATATCAAAGTATAGCATCTCAGGGTCAGGGAAATGTCCCCCAGTGGTGCAAGTCATCTCTAGGTAATAGATGAGTACCCAAATCATGCCCCACCAGGCAACAAATTTAACAAACTTTCCTTTAATATAGGAACAAGCCTTTACTTTTTCTGTTGTGATCTTAGCTGTAATGATGCTTCGTGTCCGATATGTTAAATAGGTGGTGTAGTCTGACAGGATTTGCTGCCACTTACTTTGACAAGAGCTGGTGGGCCATAATTTTAATGTACATGATAGACGTTTCTGACAAGAAATACATTGCATTAATATGTTGTATTCTTTTTAGAGAGAAAATGCTATTTTTCACGCGGCCGAGGATAAACATTCCAACGCTGTCTGCGGACGATGTGTGATCACCGTGAAGTACTGTTTTTTGGGACCATTCCACAAACGCAGTTTGTTTCTAGAGGTTATTTATGTGGTATTATGAAGGTACCGAGGCATTTGTACATTAGAGCTTTTGTCAGTATGTGGATGTTTGAAAGATTTTTAGCCTAAAGTTATATCATCACAGAAACCAGCATTCAAGTGACAGGATTGTATAGTTTGTATATTTAGGAATGTATTTTTGGGAAATAGAATTTTAAATAAGAACAAATACAGCGTAAGGTGCTGTTATTCTTAAATAATGCTGTTTAGACTTTTTGTACAGCTCTGCCTTTTAGAGGTTTTACTGCAATAAAACACGTTTGAAGGAAGCTCCCTCCTCCCTCGGGTGCCGTTGCAGGGTCCGTGCGGGGGTCCCCGGGGCTGAGCCGTGACGCTCTGCCTGTCCTGGGCCGGGATGCGGGTGCGGAGCTCGGGGCACGCGGGGCCCTCGGGACACTCGTCCTGCAGCCGGTGCTGTCCGCGGCCCTGGGG